ATAGATAGATAGATAGATAGATAGATAGATAGATAGATAGATAGATGATAGATAGATAGATAAAAAACTAAGGTAATATATAAAACATTTAAAATGTATTAACATAAAGCAATATATGGATTTTTCAAACTTTAAGCAATATTTACATTTCATCATAGCTAATATGTAGATTCTAACTACCAAATATCTTCTCTTCATCAGTTAGTGTAAGTTGTCATCCTTAGTTATCCTGCCTAATTTGTGCTGTGATTGGAGAAATATACATATGTCTTGAATATTTCTACAAATGTAACCCAATGGTAATGTTTTCTATCTGAAGTCAAATTTCAATTGATGCCATTCCAAAGTCAAGGGACTCAGTTTGGCGCCCATTATTGGGCCAGAAATATATTTCTTAAAATATTCAAATGTTAAGTAGCTATGCCTCAAATGTTTTTAATCCACCCAGCATATAATTTACCTTCTTTCATACAGGAAAATTAAAGATGGCAGCTATACTTCTTTCACCTTGTCTTTCAAATACTGAACTCTCCAGCATGGGAAATAATTCTTTCAAATACTGAACTCTACTCATTAGGGAGCACAGTTCTGAGATATTTCAGTTTGTTAAAATGTTTCATAACTTTCCTGTTAATTTACCATATTGAGAAGGAATATCTTTGAAAGACCATTTTTTAAATGTATTGATTGATGGTTAATAACCAGGCAGTTAATTTTAATGCTCTCCTTGGTAATGGCTGTATTATCTCTTGGCAACAGACCGCATTAAAGCTTGATCCCAAGCTGTATTTGTCTCGAGTGCTTATGAAGTGACAGATAATGGGCTTTGTGCCAAAAGCCCTGCTTTTCAAATGATCTGAATTTTGGTACTCTCGGGCATGAAAGATCAGGACCACACATGTAGTTCCAATTAAAATGATTCATTATTAATTATCCCTGTATGAAGGAATCTATTCAACTCTCTTGGCATTAGATATGGGTCAGCAGAATTCAAGGGGGGATTTGGAATTGTTCATTTGTGGCTATGTAGATTATCTAGGCTAATGCCTCTTTTGACTCTGCATGCAGGTTCTGCCGCTCCTTCTCCTAAAGGTGCAGGAGTATTAATGTTGTTATAAACATTTTTGTGTTCTTAATCTGTGATTTTATGAAGATATTAAGTAGATGGAAAACAATATGAAATTTTGTGTGATATAAACAAAAAACAATGAAATAAACAACTACTTACCCCTATACAAATTAAGGGACCCTGGCAGGTGGGGGAACCATTTGGTTCTACCATGTACTAATGCATACAACCCAAGGAACTTAAAAAAATATGGTTTTCAAATTATAGCAAAATTAAGACAAAATGTCAATATTAAAGAGTGAGTTTAGAAGTTCATCCATCTTACACATTTGTTTTGCATTACATTGTATAACCCATGTGAAGGTGGACTTTTGGCATTTTTTATTGATGTTAAGATGTTTAAAATTTCATCTGAATATGCTTTCTTATTTGTCTCTGGCAGGAAAACTCGACATGTTAATATTCTACTATTTATGGGCTACATGACTAAAGATAATCTGGCCATTGTGACACAGTGGTGTGAAGGAAGTAGCCTATATAACCACCTACATGTTCAGGAAACAAAGTTTCCAATGTTACAGCGTATTGATATTGCAAGACAGACAGCACAAGGAATGGAGTAAGTAGGCTTAATGATAACAGACCTTGTTGCATTAAGAGGTTGTTGAGAGGTTGACTGCTCAGTGGAACAAAAATGATTCTAGAGGAAATGTTATCTTAAGTTTTTGGCAAAGCCTTTTGTGATGACAGGCGTCGCTTAGAGATGGCAATCTAACAAAGGAGAATATTTGTAGCTCCGGGTTGAAATGAGAAGTCCTTGGTACTCTCTGAGCTTGGTTGTTTTCTTACAAACATTTCATTACCTAAACTAGGTAACATCAGTGCTAGTAACCTAGTTTGGGTAATGAGACATCTGCAAGAAAACAACCAAGTTCAGAGAGCACCAAGTAACCCTCAGATAGCAATCTGTCAGACCTGCCTCCGTTCAAAATCCAAGAATGAAGTAGATAAGAGGTACTTTTGCTGAGTTTGAAATGATAGTGGCAAAAGCAAAGCAAGATCTGATTCAAAAGGCGCGAAAGATACAAGATGAAAGTTTCCCTAAATCCCTTCCCCCAGGGTCCCAAGCTGAATGTCCAATCCATGCCCTGCATAATATCATGTGAAGCTCTTCTTCAGGTATTTTCGCTTACCTGGAATTCCAGGACAGTTGGCCTTGACTGGGTGTAAACAACTCCACTCTGCAGCACAGTAATTCTTGAGATCAAACCTCCCTTTTAGTTCACATGGACCTTCACTTACCAGCTCACTTCCCAAACCCAAATACCAAGCCCCCCCCCCATCCCCGTTACTATGTCAGCTGATAGCAAGCATACATTAAAAAAAACCATGCTGGAGATCTGGCTAACACAATCTCTGGTTGCTGTTAAGCCAAGCACTTGCTTGCAACTTTCTGCCATCTTCCAACAAGAAAAGGAAACCGGCAGGAAATCACAAATCTAGGTAGCTCACAAGTGGCTGCTATGCTATGGCGCAAGTGCAGTCGAGTGGGAACTGGGTTCTGCCAGGGTGGGAGAATATAAAAGTGGCTGCTGCAGCGCCATACAAGTGGGATAGGTGGATATTACTAGTACGAGATGTCCAGGATCTTAGAGTAACTGGGCTCCGGAGGAGAAAAAAAGCATTTTTTCTTATAAGAATAGGAGTGACTTACAAACAGTTCCTGAATGAGTGATCATTAACTAAGGGCTACCTATATTTCTCTTTGTAGAGAAAGAAAATGATCCTGCATGGATAGAATTGTTTGTCTAAAACAGTTTGGGGAAATTATTTCAGTTGCTTATTGCTGTTGAGATTTCTCAAATTTATCTAATTCTATTTATAGCTACTTGCATGCAAAGAATATAATACACAGAGACATGAAATCAAATAGTATCCTTTCTGCTTGTGAGATTGCTAGTAGTCGCTTAAGACAATAAATCTTAGTACTGCTAATTAAGGGTAGTGATTAGGTGAGATCAAGATGACTGCTGTTGACAAAACAAATGAATTCTTCTGCATTCATTCAGTATTTTAATACTAATTAGGGCTGAAAATTAGTATAAAAAGTCTCACAGAATACAGCATTACATATAGTCCCTAATAGAAAAGTGCTTGTATCTAATTGTTAGACTTGTCCTGTTTGTGGACGTGTTCGTATGCAGTACATTTTTGAAATACAGTGCCCTTAAGACAATACTTCTCTGCAAAAAGAGATAATTTGACTAGAAGTTAAAATATTAATATTTATAAATACATATAATAAATAAAGTGTTCATATTATAAATCCAATGATAAATCAGTTGAGTGTAGTGAGTGCCAAACAATCAATCAATATTACACAATTTATTCCTTAGCCTTTCTCTCAAATCAAAATGACGGTAATAAGAAGAAAAGTGTTGTTGGCCTATTTGTAAATCTTGAGTTTTTGTAGGTGGGAAGAGGGGCAAACAATGATCTTTTTATCTAGCAAAACACATACATAAATAGTAGTTATCTTTTTGAAAGGCTGATAATGAAGTATAGAAAGTATACATAAGTGGCTCCTTCAGTTGATATTATAAATACATTAACTGCTATAAACATTACAGTTAACAGTATGGATAGCCTAAACACATTGGCTGAACCTACTTGCAAGTGGGACAGTGCTTGGTAATTCAAATTATGGTCCAGATGTGTTCCTTAACAATTGTGAAGATATATTTCTTCATGAAGACCGAACAGTGAAGATAGGAGACTTTGGTTTGGCAACAGTCAAATCCAGATGGAGTGGTTCTCAACAGGTGGAACAGCCTACAGGATCGGTTCTCTGGATGGTAAGGTCTCAAGTATAAAGGGAAAAAAAATGATTAGATAAGGCATCATTGCTTTAACATTAATTAAGATTTGTACAGCAAAAATAATCCCCCAAATATAGTGTTCTCTATTCCATTACAGCTGATTTTCCTTGTTCTGAAAGATCCCGGTTTCTGATGATGCTGCAGTGTTAATAGTATGTTTGTGTTTGTGGAGGGCTCATCAAACAAAGTAATAATTTTGCTTCAATATCTGATTTGGAGTCAGGTCCAGACTGCATAGCCTGCATTTATGCATAATTTCACACTTCCCATCCCTGCCTTCAAAATGTGAGGCTGCTTTCACTATAGTAACGTACAATATTTTTTTCAACCTTCCATTGTATCCATGCAGAAGATTGGTATGGGAAGAGATCTTTTGTTCCAGTTTTTTGTATTCATCTAACGCTATAGGCAACACCAGATATTTATTTTGACAATCCTGTGTTAGAAGTCCACAGTCTTAATTTAATTTGCTGGTCACAGACAGATATCATAAGAGGGAAAAAAAGGAAGATGAAGTAGTTTACACCCAAATCCTTCACCTTAAGTTATGCTTCATGATTTATTTATTTTTAACCTAAGAGCTTTAATTTTTTTTTGATCCTCTACTTTTTATTCGTTTTCCAAGCAGTGAATAACGTTGCTTATCTTGAAAGGTAACAGTGAATGGATATGCATGTATGGTCTTGGACCCAATTTAAATGCGTTAGAAAATTATTTTCAAAGTTTAACACTGTTCTAGTCCACAGTTATGGTTGTCAGTGGTGAGGTATGGACAAAAAAAGTATGGGCTTTAGGATGGGTTGCTACAATTTGTCTTTTTTAAAAATCATTTTATGTTTTCTAAAGGCACCGGAAGTAATTCGAATGCAAGATAGCAATCCATTCACCTTTCAATCAGATGTGTATTCTTATGGAATAGTACTGTATGAATTGATGACCGGAGAGTTACCCTATTCACATATTAACAACAGAGATCAGGTGGAAAAATATTATTTTTTGATAAGAGTGCTTTATATTTTTTGATGCACATGTTCACATTTATAAAGTTGATACACCTTTACAAAAATGTGTTTGTTATTCATAGATCATTTTCATGGTTGGTCGTGGTTATACATCGCCTGATCTCAGTAAACTATACAAAAACTGTCCAAAAGCGATGAAGAGGCTTGTAGCGGATTGCGTAAAAAAAGTGAGGGAAGAGAGACCTCTTTTTCCACAGGTGAGTATAATTTTATGATACATTTGAATAAAACAAGATCAGAAAAAAAGCATTTACCGTATTTTTCAGAGTATAAGACGAGAGGAAGAGAAAGAGAGAGAAATACAGTAGGTAGGTAGGAAGAGAGAGAGAGTAGTTAGGTAGGTAGGTAGATAAAGGGATATATATGTGTGTGTGTGTGTGTGTGTGTGTGTGTGTGTACATATACATACACATATACATATACATAATATACATATACACATATACACATATACACATATAC